TGGGTGGATGGATGGATGGATGGGTGGGTGGGTGGGTGGATGGATGGATGGGTGGGTAGGTGGGTGGATGGATGGGTGGGTAGATTGATGGATGGATGAATGGACAGGTGGATAGGTGGGTAGATTGATGGATGGATGGATGGATGGATGGGTGGGTGGGTGGGTGGATGGATGGATGGATGGATAGGTGGATAGGTGGGTAGATCGATGGATGGATGGCTGGCTGGATGGGTGGGTGGGTGGATGGATGGATGGCTGGCTGGATGGGTGGGTGGGTGGATGGGTGGATGGATGGATGGGTGGGTGGGTGGTTGGATGGGTGGGTAGACTGATGGATGGATGAATGGATAGGTGGATAGGCGGGTAGATTGATGGATGGATGGATGGGTGGATGGGTGAATGGGTGGGTGGGTGGGTGGATGGGTGGATGGATGGGTGGGTGGGTGGATGGATGGATGGATGGATGGATGGGTGGGTGGATGGATGGGTGGGTGGGTGGATGGATGGGTGGGTAGATGGATGGATGGATGAATGGATGGATGGATGGATGGATGGGTGGGTGGATGGATGGATGGGTGGGTGGGTGGGTGGATGGATGGGTGGGTAGACAGATGGATGGATGGATGGGTGGGTAGATGGATGGATGGATGGACAGATGGATGGATGGGTGGGGTGGACAGATGAATGAAGGGCTGGGTGGATGGATAATGGATGCATAGGTGGGTGCATGGGTGGTGGGAGTTGGACAGGTTGATGGGTGAATGGATGAGTGGGTAGGCTGATAGATAGACAAAGAGCTGGACAGATGGAGGAAAAAATCACCCAGTCCTTGCTTCAGAGGAGAAGCCTCTAAGCCCATAATGGTAAGGCTCTGACTTGCATGCATATGCCAAGGACCCATCGCCAAGCGACCTTGGCACACAGAACCCTCCTAGCCATTCATCTGACCCACACGCTAAACAAAGAGAAGCTTCATGATAACAAAAATAAAGGAAAGAAATGAAGAGACACGAACCACAGGCAGGCTAAGCACACTGCTTCACCAAAGGCCAGCTCAGGGCCAAGAGGCCTCACGGTTCTGGTCAGAAAAACCTTGGAATATGTCACCCAGCCAGGGAGAGCAAACAAACAGGCTTGGGGGACTGGGAAAAGCGGAGGGGCGTGGCAGGGGCGGGGTGGAGGAGAGGGGCAGACCAGGAGTGCAGGGGTGGGGCAGGAACAAACGGCCTGGGCAGGGCAGGGGGGGCCTCAGCTGGAACCACAGATACTCACGGCAGTTGGTTTCATCGGTCTGGTCCTTACAGTCAAAGTCACCATCACAGCGCCACAGCTTGAGGGCACAGTGTCCATTCCCGCAGGCGAACTCATTAGGCTCACAGGGTGGCGGGGTGCCTAGGGGACCAGGCAAGGGTCAGCAGCACCCTCCCAGGCCAGCTTCCTGCTCCCCGAACCCACCTGCACCCCTGCCGGCGCCCACCGCAGTCCAGCTCATCGCTGCCGTCCTTGCAGTCGTCCTGCCCGTCGCAGAGGTAGTCTCTGGGGATGCAGTGCCCACTGCGGCATGCCACCTCCTGGGGCCCACAGGGCAGGGGCCTGGTGGAAGCAGGAAGCAGGGGCTGGGGAGCATGGGTATGTGGTGGCTGTCTTGTGGTGATTGCCTCCAGCCGGGGTGGTAAAGGTGTTGTTTCCATCAGGAGAGAGAATGTGGGGCTGACTCCCAGGACCAGCTCCTCTGTGGACAGAGTCCGCTTGGCATTTGGCAGAAGCAGGTGGCTCTCACCTGCTCCTTGTCCCCCACACTCCCCAGGCCCACCTTGTACTCCCCAACACCACTTCCTGCCGCCCCCTGCCTGGCTCTGTCATCACCCTTCCTACGCCCCCATCCTCTGCCTGCACCAAAGCTTCATAGTCCCCGACGGACTCCAAGACCCGGGTGTAGGACCCTGGCCTTCCGTTGGGGCCCAACCCACTTGTGGCCCTGGACATCCCCTCACCGCAGTTGAGCTCGTCGGACATGTCCCTGCAGTCGGGCCGCCGGTCACAGCGATACTCCAGGGCCACACACTCGTTGTAGCTGTGGCAGGCAAACTCGGCCTCGGTGCAGGCTCTCGGGAACTGGGGCACTGCGGGTGGAGGAGCAGACTGGAGTCAGAGGTGGCCAGAGGGAGGTGTGGGAAGCTGCGGGAACAGCACAGGCGCTGCGTGGCTGGAGTGGGATTCGGTGTCCTGTGTAGGGCAGCTCGGTTTCTGGCAGGCATAGCGAGGGCAAGGAGCACGTAGTAGACACATCCACAGCACGCGTGGGGCATGGGACATGGGGCAGTGGCCTCCCCCGTCTCTAACACAGACCCCACACACAGGTGACATGCCACACACATGCAAAAACCATACCACACACATGCAGGCCGCAGCCTGGCCCAGTGAGGACAAAGGAGGGGAGAGGGGAATGCCCAGCTGTCTTGGGCTGTGCCCAGCCAGCCATCTCGCCCTCATCCTTCTCTCCCCTCCATCCTTAAAAAATTTTTTTTCTTTTTTTAGAGACAGGATCCCACTATGTTGCCCAAGCCGGTCTCGAACTCTTCGTCTCAAGTAATCCTCCCAGCTTGGCCTCCAAAGTGCTGGGGCTACAGGCGCCATGGGAGCCCCCACGCCTGGCTTCCTCTCCATCCTTAACTTCTCTAGGAACCTGGCTGGGCCTGGGCCTGGCTTACACTCTCACCTGGTGTCACTGCGACCGCCACAGCGGCCGGCGGGGGTGGGGGGGTCTGTGCTGAAAAGGAAGATGTGGTCAGTGGTCGCTCCGTCTGGGAGCCCGAAGCTGAGGGCCGTAGGGCTGGGCCAGGCCCTTCTGCCATCCCTAGCCAGGAGGACTCATTGAAAAGTGAGAGAGAAGGGCTGGAACCCCACCCAGTGGGCCTAGTGGTACCAGAAGAGCAAGGCTGATCTCTAGGTGTACTAACTGTTTGTTTTGTTTTGTTTTGCTTTAGAGACAGTGTTTTCCTCTGTCGCCCAGGCTGGAGTGCAGTGGCACGGACAAGAGTGCACTGGACAAGGAGTGGCTCCTAGAGGGGGCTGGCTTAGCGCATTGCAGCCTCGAACTCCTGGGCTCAAGTGATCCTCCTGCCTCAGCCTTCTGAGTAGTTAGGACTACAGGCACATGCCACTATGCCCGGCTGAATTGAGGTGCAGGACAAGGGAGGTGATGGTTTCACTGTTTTTCTAATTGTGCTATACCATGGAAGGAATGGAGGCTGTTCCATTCTGCGTTTCACTGAGTCAGGGTCTTCCCAGAGAGAGGAGACAGTGCTGAGAACCACAGCCTGTGAGGGGTGGCCTAGGGCTGTTCGGGCTAGAGAAAGAAAAGACTCAGGATGTTGAAACAGGAGATCAGGGGCACAGAAGAAGGAAATCTGGGCTGACCCGAAGTACAAAGGCCAGGATTCTGCACCTAACAGCTGTGTGGCTTTGGACCGGTTTCCTAGACTCTCTGTGCCTCAATTTCTCCTGCTTCTCTCATCACAGGTTCTGGCAAGACTTGAGTTTGTTTGAAATCCTAGACTTTTCACTATCTGCCCATCTGGTTCTGGACAAATTCAGATTTTCCTTTCTGAGCCTCAGTTCCCCCGTCTCTGAAACGGGGAATAACATTTTCTGCACAGGAATTGCTGTGAAGACTGACCTGGAGGCTGGAAATAAGGGCAGTCAGCACTCAGTAAACAGTTGCTGGTTACTATTAAGTAATAATGTGTTTTGGACTTGTAAGTATGGGATGCATCAAGGCCTGAAGACCTACTGTCAATGTGTAGAGGTCTAGAAGGAAGGAGCAGAATTTGGGTCTTATGGGGATGTGCTACAGGAAACAGTCTGTGCTCTACCAAGTCAAGATTGTGTAAAGATAGATGGGGTGGACTCAGGAGGTGGTGAGCTCCCCGTTTCTAAAGCTGTGCAAGCCCAAGTTGGGAGCCCATGGTGGAGACACTGAAAGGTCCCCCCCCACCCACCCAACAAGTCTGGAGGAGGCGACCCCAGGCACCAGGATAGGCTCACCTGTGCCCAGGCGTCGGAACTGGAATCCCTGGGGAGAGGTCATGTAGGAGGCCATGGAGCCGCTGGAGACGACCCTGTGCAGCACCTCCTGAATCTGGGTCCCGTCTGGATTCCCTTCCGAGCCCACATCCAGCTCCACGAAAACCCAGCCATCCAGCTCCCTGGGGATGGAGATGGGCAAGAGAGGAGGGTCAGCAAGACTTCTGTGCTCTCGGCTCCTCCATGAGGCTCCTGCTCCAATGGTCAGGTCCTGTTCCAGGACAGCCCGTACCCAAAGCAGGGCAACTAAAGGTCCCAATCATCCCCCCACCAATTCCTGAATTTCCACCGATAGCGACTCATCCTATAGGCCTTTCCATGGTGCCAGGCTTCCTTCCCATCCTCATCAGCCCCCTCCAGGTTACCCGCTCAAGTCCCCTGGCAGCCCTCAGCGGCCCCTTCTCACTTGATGAACACCACACTGACAACCTGGTCTCCGGGAATTTTCAAGTACTCCGACTCCAGCTGGGGAAGGACACAGCGCCATCAGCCCCAGAGGCCTTCACCCCATCCCCAGTCCTGCCCCGCCATGCCCTCGAGCTTCCTGAACCCCGCATTGCCTCACCGTGTCGACCACAGCCTCGGACACCTCTCGGAACTCCCTGGAGCCGGCATCCTCCAGCTGAGGGCTGTACGTGATGGAATGAGTGAAATTCACCAGGGCTCGGAAGTAAACTGTGGAAAAGTGAAGGAGGTATCATTCTGAGAGGCCCAGCCTGTCACGTAGTGACGTTAGGCAGCTGGACCATTCAGGCGGAGCTGCAGGGATGGCCCCGGGAGGCCTCCGTCAAGGCTGACACCTGTGTGTCCGTAGCCATGCCCAGCACAGCTTTCTATACACATGCTCAGGGGTCAATGTCAAGGCTCCAACTTGACTGAGGAGCTTTAACTAACAGGGAAAATAGCCTGATCCAGAAACCAAGTGATGGTGCAGAAGAGGAGACCCCAGCAATCCACAGGAAGGCTGGACAAGAAGGAGTGGCTCCTAGAGGGGGCTGGCCTGGTACAGGCATTACCTGCATGTGACTGGGAAAGGCTCTGCCAGCCCTCCCTGGCCAGTTCCTACTCACTCCTCAGGACTTGGCTCAGCCATCGCCTCCTGATCTGCCCTGGCTGGGGTAGAGACCGCTCCCCTGGGCTCCCACAGTGCCCTGCTTTCCCTCGCAGAGCACCTTCCACCCGGCACTGCGTAGTTTCTGCCAGGTTTCACATCACAGTAACAATCGTGGGTCTCGGCTCTGAGTTTCTGTTTCCTAAAGGGATACTGACTGCACGCACCACCTGGGTGGCTGTGAGGAGCGCATGCTATTGTGTTCACATGCACCAGACCCTTGTGCTCAGATGCAGCACCCAGCACACAGCAAAGCGCCCGAGCATTGAAGCTGCCTCATCCTCTGTCCACCACCAGAATCTAAGCTTGATGAGGGGGAACCTGGGATATCCCCTCATCACGTGCCTGGCACACAGTGGGTTCCTCGTTAAGTGATGGCTAAATGCATCTTAGACTGGTGTGAGCATACACATGCGTCTGTTGTTTCTTTCTTTTCTTTTCTTTGGCAGGGCCTTGCTCTGTCATCCAGGCTGCGGAAGCGGTAGCACGACCACAGCTCACTGCAGCCTCCAGAGTAGCTGGGATTACAGGTGCATGCCCTCATGCCCAGCTAAGTTTTTGACTTTTGGTAGAGATGGGGTCTTGCTATGTTGCCCAGGCTGGCTTTAAACTCCTGGGCTCAAGCAATCCTCTTGGTTCGGCCTTCCAAAGTGCAACTGTCATTTCTTAAGCACCTACTATATACGAGACATTTTATACTCATTAAATTTCACCATGTTTATGAATTCCTGTATGTGATAAATATGAATGAATAAGAGTGACAAATGACTCATATACAAGCCAAGCATCCGAATCCAAAAATCTGAAATCCGGTGTGTAGGTGGCAGAGCAGGGAGTGGCACTATCTGTGCTACTGCCAGGCCCCTCCTCCCACTTCACTCTGTCTGTTTGGCCCGCAGGTGCACAGGACACTCTTCCTCTGCGGCTCTGCGAAGAAAGGCCTGGCGCTGCCTGCTCTGAACCACAGGGCCTGGGCTGGGCCGGGCTCCTGGGTGCCGGGTGGGAGGGGCTCTGTGGGCCAGAGTGTGGGGACCATGGCTTGGCTACAGAGGCCCCTTGTGAGCCGGCACAGAGGCCCATTGAGAGTACCCCCACCCAAGCCCGTGGCCTCAGCCCCATGGCCCAGCGAGGGCGAGGAGGCCGGGCCTCTGCCCAGGAATGTGCCCGATCCCAGGGGAGGGGGCTGGAGTTCCACAAAGTCCCTTTCTACTAGGGCCTGGAAAGGGCCCAGGACCTCCAGCCTGACCCCACCTTCCTTCCTTCTTTGAGACCAAGGGCAAGCAAACACCCTACGTCTCCCACCCTGAAGCTGGTGCCTTATCAGTGGGGCAGAAGGTGAGGCCGCCTCTACTTCAAGAACCAGCCCCCAAGCTGGGCCTAGTGGCTCATGCCTGTAATCCCAGCACTTTGGGAGGCTGAGGTGGGTGGATCACTTGAGGTCAGGAGTTCAGGACCAGCCTGGCCAATATGGTGAAAATACAAAAATCAGTCAGGCATGGTACTGCGTGTCTGTAATTCCAGCTACTCAGGAGGCTGAGGCAGGAGGATCACTTAAACCACGGAGGCAGAGGTTGCAGTGAGCCAAGACTGTGTCACTGCATTGCATTCTAGCCTGGGTGACAGAGCAAGACTCTATCTCAAAAAAAAAGAAAAGAAAAGAAAAAAAGAACCAGCCCACAGAGCCAAGAATACTGGTGCAGCCAGCAGAGATGAGGCTGTGCCTCGGATAAGGGTGATCTCTGGCCAGTCCTCTCCCTCCTCTGGAGCCAGAGGCTGGGAAAGGGAGACCAGAGGCTAGGGGAGGGAGAGAGCTGCCTGAACCCAGGGCGGAGGTGGGGGCTGCACACCTGAGCAGCCCTAGCCCCGGAGCCGGCTACCCAACAACTCCTGATTCTCATCCCTGCTCAACAGAGTTTCCCCGAACACACCAAGGCCCCTGAATTCCAGCCCTGGGTCCCTGTGGGTCCCTTGGGTGGGCCCAGGATAGCCTGTGGTTAGGTGGACACAGCGGCCTCTGGAATGCAGGGCCTGGTTCCCTGCAGGGCTGCGGCACCTATCTCTGCCTGACCAACACCCATGGGGAAGAATGCCAGGGTCCCAGCCCCCTGTGTTTAGATTTGTGGGCCCAGGGCAGGCCTGGCTGTGTCCTGGGCAGGCGCAGCAGCTGGCCTGGTCCCTGGACTCCTTAGAGTGGTGCCTCTGAGCCTCCTGTGTGACTCACAGCAAAGTGCAGTTTAGGGAGGAAGAGAATAGGGAGAAAGGAGAGAAAGGGAAGAGTGGGGAGAGTGGATGTAGAGGGAGGCAGAGAGAGCAGCGCTCCCACCTGGCCCGGGCCTGGGTCACTTACTGAGAGGGGATGCCTCATCAGGCTCCGAGACCATCATGCCGGCCACGGGCGGGCGGCCCAGGGGCGGCCCCGAGCCTGCAGAGTGGAGACAGACAGGGAGGAGAGGAGGGAGATTGACAGCGAGGGAGACAAGACAGAGAACCAGAGAGAGAGAGGCAGAGACACTGGAAGAGAGAGGGAGACACAAAGAGACAGAAAGACAAAGACAGAGACACAGAAAGTTGGGGGGAGAATGAGAGAGAAAAGGCAAGACAGGCGAAGAAAAAGGCAGAGAGGAAAAGAAAGAAAGAAAAAGATCAAGGCAGAGGGGAGAGAGGGAGAGAGAGGGCGAGAGGGAGAGAGAGGGCGAGAGGGAGAGAGAGGGCGAGAGGGAAAGAGAGGGCGAGAGGGAAAGAGAGGGCGAGAGGGAAAGAGAGGGCGAGAGGGAGAGAGAGGGCGAGAGGGAGAGAGAGGGCGAGAGGGAGAGAGAGGGAGAGAGAGGGCGAGAGGGAGAGAGAGGGAGAGAGGGAGAGAGAGGGAGAGAGAGGGAGACAGAGGGAGAGAGGGAGAGAGAGGGAGAGAGGGAGAGAGAGGGCGAGAGGGAGAGAGAGGGCGAGAGGGAGAGAGAGGGAGAGAGAGGGCGAGAGGGAGAGAGAGGGAGAGAGAGGGCGAGAGGGAGAGAGAGGGCGAGAGGGAGCGATGGCGAGCCAGAGAGAGGGAGGACAGGATGAGGCAGAGGGAGGGGGCACAGAGACAGACACCGAGGAGTGGGGAAGAGGACCCAGGCAGGGAGGAGGGCAGGGGAGACACACAGACATGCAGACAGTGTCGCAGCGGGGGGACACATGGGCGTGGGGGAAGACAGAAAGAGATAGGTCAGAAGATGGAAAGAAACTGGGGGAGGAGAGTTGGGAAGGGGTCCTGGGGAGGGGAGGCTGTCAGAGGTGGGTGTTGACACTCGGGGTTGGAGCTGAGCCAGGGAGCTGCAGCCAGGCCCAGGGGGAGGAGGGAAAGAGTCATCTCAGCGGTCTGGGACTGCGTCAGGGCCTAGGCATGGCCCCATGATGGTCAGGACGGCCCTGGCCTATGAGTGCAGGGGTGGCGGGTGCTGCCCTTGATCAAGGCTGAGCGGGCACCCTGGGACCCTGGGATCAGGAAGGCACACACCTGCTGCCGCCCTGACTGCCATTCAGCCCAGCTGCCTGGACCTGCACCACGGGCAGCTGGCAGGAGCCAGGGTTTGGGCCTGGAGGGTCTGAGGCCCCACCTGTTCCTACTTGCGAGGAACAGCACCCTCCCTAGTGTGGGCCCCCTCCAGCTGCTGCACCCTGTCCCCCACCTCTTCCTCCTCCGGCCTCACCTACCCTCACAGCTGCTTCTCAGAGGGCCAGGTGGGCTGGCCAGGCCTGCCCAGCCAGTGTGGAGCTGCTGCAGCGGGCGGCACCCCAGAAGGGCGGGAGATGGTTCGTGCATGGACAGGGAGGATCAGACGCAGGCTTGGTTTGCCCAGAGGCAGCTCCAGGAACGCATTAGCATAGGCTATTCCAGGACAGGACTGGACGTGGCATGTGTGCCCGGGGCCCACTTGACACTCCCTCTCCCAAGCTCCACCCAGCTCCCAGGCATCCTGCAGCCTCGTGGGGACCTACACATGGAAAACCAGGCGGAGCCCAAGTCTGGGCTCTGGGAGGTCACAGTCAGGACCAGGTTACCCAGGGACCAACCCTCCCGTCTGCACTGACCCAGTTAGGATGCCACCTGCTGGCATCTGAAGGTCCCTGATATGTCGGCTAAAGTGAGGTGCCTCCACCCCAGAAGAGGCCCAGGCCAGATTTGCCCAAGGCCTACCTAGGGCGAAGGCAGCCCAGTGGTTAGTCTGACCTGAGCACCCGCTCCAACCTTGGCCCTGGTCACAGACTGTCCCAGGGGCTGCCTCCCAGAGGGGGCAGTAGGAACCATACAGAGCCACTGGGCCTTGTCCTAGGGTCAATCCTTCTCCACCCAGAATTCCAGAGTGGAAGGAAGCAGGGACGCTGAGTCCCGTCCCAGTGCTGGGCCAGTCTGACCAGGGTAGGGGCTGACTCCCCTCCCTCCACAGAGCCCAGCCTCGTGTCCCTAAGCCAGAAGCCCTTGCTTTCCAGCAGGTGACCCACCTTAAGGCAGGGTTTTCCCTCCCAAGCCTGGGGTCAGGCTTGCTCTGTGCCCTGCCCACCCTGCTGGGTGTGTGATACCTGATTCCACAGAGCCCCTCTGTTCTGCTTGTCTTTGCCTGGGATCCCCAGCTGTGCTCCCAGGGGGCTCTGGGGAAGGACTCAACAGCTGAGCTGCCCTGGGAAGTGAGAACTTTGCTTTGAATGTGGAATAGCTGACTGGCTCTCAGTCCCCAGCAGAACTGGGCTTTACCTGCCCACTGCCCTGATCCCTGTTTCTGGCATGGGCAAGCATAGGACCTGGTCATACCAGCCTTGCAGGGACCTGCCAATTAGTCTGCACAACTGTCACTCAGCAGGTGAGGGACCACCCCCACTTATCCTTGCTTTGCACCCCAGGGCAGGCCCAAGGATCCCTGGAGACCCTCAACCCACGAGACTGGCTCTGGGGCTTCCTTGGGGGCAGGAGGGAGATCTGTGGGAGGCCCGCAGCAACTTACCCATCTGGAAGTCCCCGCTGCCCAGGTCCCCGCTGCCCAGGCCACCTACAAGCAAAAAAGAGACATTTTCAGCAACAACATATATTTGTTGAGTACCTACTGGGTGTCAGGCACTGCTCTGGGCACCTGGTACACAGTGGGGCAGGGTTGGTACTGCAACCAAAGAAATGGTCACTAAAGCAAAGAATGGTCACCCTCCTCCCCCATGTCTGGGGAGGGATGGTCTATGAAAGTCAGTTTGGAAGCCTCCATCACAGAGGGCATGGGCCAGCTGGGCTCGATGGCTCAAGCCTGTAATTGCAGCACTTGGGGAGGCTGAGGTGGGTGGATCACTTGAGGTCGGGGGTTTAAGACCAGCCTGGCCAACATGGTGAAACCCTGTCTCTACTAAAAATACAAAAATTAGCCGGGTGTGGTGGCACATGCCTGTAGTCCCAGCTACTCGGAAGGCTGATGTAGAAGAATTGCTTAAACCCAGGAGGCGGAGGTTCCAGTGAGCTAAGATCATGCCACTGACTCCAGCCTGGGCAACAGAGCGAGACTCTGTCTCAAAAAACAACAACAAAAAAGAGAGGGTGTGGGCTGAGGCCCCAAACTCCAGGGACTCAAAACTATCTGTCCAGTGGCTGGGGCAGGAGTAGGCAGATCAGACTGGCCTCCAGGTGAGGACATGGAGGAGGCGTACGGGGATGGGTGAGCTCCTACAAGGTGCATTGCCAGCCACCTGCCCAGTGGGTCCTGATCGTCCCAGGCTGCAGTGATGACCAGGCCAGGGCCACACAGGTTGTAAGTGGAGGATACTGGGGTCACTCGGACCAGGGCTCAGGACACACACAGCCCATCTCTTGAGGCATCACCTTGTGGACTTTCATAGGGCCTCTTCAAAGACCAGTGGGAAGAAGCATGGTCTCACCCCTCACCCCTCTGCTCCCAGCCCCGGAGACCTTGGCTCACCTCCGGAGGCGCTGTCAGCCAGCAGGTCCTCATCGTCAGAAAGGTACGAATAGCTCCAGCCCATTCGGCTTGCCGTGACGGTCTCCGTGTCCTCAGGTAGAGACAAGCCATCGTATGCCCTCAGCCCATGGGTCACCTGTAAGTAGACGACAGAGCCAACTGAGTCACTCTCTCCAGCTCCTGCTGAGCCCCACGGCCCTTCCTCTCACCTCCAGGAGGACCCGGAGTTCCACCCCCAGTAGTTAAATTTGACTCAGTATGGCTCAGTAAGCCAGGCAGGGGCCGAACCCATTTTTGACTCAGTTTCCCCAAGTCCCATTAGCCCCTGGAGGCTTCAGAGCCCAGCCCTGTAAATTCTGAGTGAATCCTCAAATAAAGCAGACAATAAAATGTAAATCACTTTGGTAAGTAAAGAGAAGGCAAGGGACACCCAGGACATGAGCATGTGGATGGGGAGATGCAGGCGGGTAAAGGGGTGACCTGGGCCAGCACAGATGGGGGACATGGGCAGGTGGAAGGAGGGCCAGGGTCAGCCACGGGTGGGGACACGGGCAGAAGGCGAGGGCGAGTTGCTCAAAGCTGCCGCCTCCCCAGGAAGCTCCTCCCAGGCCATTTGGCTCCTGTTCCTGCCTCGCTCTGGCCTCCCGGTCTCCAGGCTGCAGGGAACACATTCCACGGTGCTGGAGAATTCGCTTTGGCACATGCAGCCACACTGACAGGCTCATCCCTGCACCCAGCAGTGCGGAGGCGGAGCCCAGCATCTGGGCTGAATGGGGACAGGCGTGGTGTCCGCTCCACGTGACCTCAGGCTGCTGCCAGCCTAGGATGAGCTCCACCTTGGGGCCTGCACTATGTGGGAGGAACGGAAGGGCCGCCGTGGCCACAACACCTGCCTTCTCAGGTGTGGGTCCCGGCAGTGAGGGCCTCCTTCCCACTAGACAAGATCCAGATGTTTCCAAAGCAGTTTCACCAACTGACATAGGGGAAACAAACCCAGGGGAGCCCAAGGGACCCCTGTACCCCGCAAGCGTGCACAGATTCATGATGGCCTGGCATGAGGGCTGCAGGCCCTGCCCTGGCCCTAAGTCAGAAGGAAAACCAAACCCACAAGGGCTAGACAAGATAGTGAGGTCAAGTTGGAGCAAAGGCCAAGGAGGAGAAAAAACGAAGAGCCAGGCAGACCCACTTCCCTCCCCACCCCACAATTCCCACAGTCCATGTCCCTCACGCCTCGCGTTTCTCATGCCAGCCCCTCTGCTGGGATGCCCTTCCTCTCTTTGTTCCTCAGGCAAACTCCAACGAATCCTCCAAAATCAGCTGCAACACCATCTCCTCCACCTACTCAGGAAGGAGGAACAAGGAATCGACTGATACGCGTGGGTCTGGAAGAAGCCAGACACAAATGACTACAAACTATACGATTCCATTTATACGAAACCTCAGCGGTGAAAGTCTAATCCATAGTGACGAGAAGATCAGCAGTCACTTGGGACTAAGGGGAGGCTGGGGGTGACTGGGAAGGGGCCACAAGAGAACCTTCTGGGTGATGGTTCACTGGGCATACACAGCTCATTACTGAAAATGGGTATAGTTTGTTATGTGTATTTATGCCTCAATAAGGATGACTAGAAAAGAAACTCTCTTTGTCCTGACTCCTTGCTCTCAACCCCCGGTCTGGTTCTGGGCCCTCCTGGGCTCACAAGGTTATTATCTGTAACTCCATTGGAGTGGAAGCACCTTGAAGGCAAGGGCTGTGATGAATTCATCTCCACCTTCTCTGCACCCCGTGTTCAGTAAATACCTGAATGAACTAATGAATGAATGCATGGAAAAACAGGTCATCACCTATTATTCCAGCTGCTCCTTGAAGATGACTTCCTTGGGGAGGCACTACCTACCTCTGTGCGATCTATAGGCACCTCCTGTCCCAGGCCTGAGCTCCCTGGATGGGGTAGGGGCTGGTGCCGTGTGTTCCTCACTGTGTTTGTGGTGCTCTCAGACCTGCGCTATCCACACCTTATTCCTGCTTCAGCCTAAAGCCCCTTCCCCCGACAACCCAGGGCAAATGTTGCCTCCTGTTCCTTCTCCTCTGCCACCCTCTCCTTCTGCATGAGTGCCTGCCCCTGTCTTCCTGAGTGCTGGCCTGTGGACTTCCAGGCTGTGCCCATTGGATGTGCATTCCGGAGTGCACTTCAGAACTTCTAGGAGCTGGTGAGAAATGCAGATTACTGGGCTCCTTCTCAGAGCCAGTGAGTCAGGTTCTTCCATCCCAGGAGGGTGGTTATAGTTGTGCATGTCCGGGGAATTCTGACAGCCACTGGTTAAGAATCACAAGACCAGCCACTACCAGGGGCTCTGCCTCCTTCCCTGGGTCGGTACAGGGCAGTGTTCCCACTGGCTGGAGCAGGCCTGACTGATCCAAGGTGGGTATGAGGCTGGGGCTGGTGCAGGGGCACTGACTCTGGACAGAGATTTGAGGGGTCCTCCCCATCTGGAGGGGCTCTGTCAATGCCAATCCCTTTCCCAGTGCAGCCAAGGTTATGGAGGATATGCCTGGGCCACTGAGGCTCCCAGCATCTCCCAGACACTGCAGACTGGAAAGGAAAACCTGGTGGTGAGTGACGAGCAAGGTCCAGAGCTTTTCCCAGGGAGGGGGGAGCTGGCTAGGGGGTGGTGGCGGCCGGGGGGGTTGGGACCAGACAGGAAATAGCAAAGTGAGATTCAACATGGAAAGAAAGCCAGGAACACACATCTGGAGGGAGAGGGGAAAGAGAGGCCAGAGCACGTCGGGACTTGGACTGAAGTGTCCCCTGCTCCAGCACAGGACCCCAGGGCATGGACCCCTCCATCTGCCAGTCTGCTTTGCTTGCAGCCCCCACCCCAGGGTCTGAGGATCCAGGGTCAAATCAGGGCCCGTGGCAAGGAATAAGTCAGCAAGAGCAGAGACTTTATTTGTAAAAAGCTGAAGATGAAAAGGTTCCAGCAGCTGTATTTCTGGGAGGGGAGATGGAACAGACAGGAAAGAGGCTCCCGGAAAGAGCCAAAAGGAACTCGAGACTTGACCAAAGAAGGATCTTGGACCCAGAATGGGAAAGTCCACAATCTGCTGGAGGAATAACAGCTAACATTTATTGAGCACTTACTATGCACCAGGCACTCCTAAACCAGGTTATAGGTCTTATGGGGGTTCCACTGAGAAGTGGGGCAAAGAGAGCAGAGAAAGTCAGGATACCTGTTGAAACTGACGTATGGCAGGGCTGAGATTTGAACCCTGTGGTCGGGCTCCAAGGCCTGAGCAGCTACCACTGTGCTGTGCCACCTCTGTGACCAGGGCTGTGCAACAAGGCAGATACAAGATCACTGGGAGTCATTCTTGCAAAGCCTCTCGGCCACTTTACAATGCATTTCCTCAGCCTAGCATCACCTGGGTTGACAGTGACCCTGGGAAGTGACTGAGGAGGTGTGAATGCTCCCCTTTCCCAGTGAGCCCTGGGGAGACGTGCCTGCCCAGATCACAGGTGAGGAGCTGGCATCCCACCCCAGGCCTTCTGCCCACCAGGACATGAGGAAGGATGGCCATGAGGCCTAAGCAGAGGCCAGTACCAGGGAGCCCAGGTTTGGCCAGTCCCTGTCCCCGACCTGACCAGCTTCCAGGACGGCCCCACGGGATGCCCAGGCTGGCAGTGGCCTGGGGCCAGGCAGCACGTGCCTCAGGTCCCAAGGAGGGGCATTAGCGGCTCCAAGGTCAGGGGCAGAAATAGAACCCAGGTTTCCTGCCCTCTAGCCCGTCTCCGGCTGTGAGGGAGCCCAGCTTCCTCCTAGAGGAACCCAGCACTTCAGGTATGTGTTGGAGCGGGACAGGAAGCCAGAGAGGAGTGGTCTAGAGGGCAGACCTCAGCCAGAGAGGAAGTAGCCAAGCAGAGAGGGGGATTTCTCAGACCCTTTAGTTCCTGGCTGTTGGGGGGGGAAGCGGGTACGGGAGGCAGCTGACTCAACGGGGCCCAGGCCAGAGGACTGTTCTACAGGCTGAAAACAATTGCTTGGGGCTGGGATGCAGGCAGGGTGGCCCCCAGTGGGCAGGCATTCCCAGAACACGGGCGGGACCGTAGGCGAGGGGCTTCTGGGAGGCACCCAGCCCCTGAGGTGGGCTATGTCCAGGCCCTCCTGGTGAGCACGAGGGTCACGTGGAACTCTAGGTCCAAGTCATGTCCTTGGGGACAATGAATGCAGGCTGGATCCTCATCTCCTGGCCTGGGTGAGGATGAAGAGGCAGCCAGGGCTGGCTAGGGAAGGGCTCAGCACGGAGAAGAAAACCACAAGGCACAGGACGGAGAGAAGTCGGGGGAGGTACAGACAGAAAGAGCAGGTATAGGGTTTAGGGCTTTCAATGGAGTTAGTTTTTTTTGGAGACGGAGTCTCACCCCGCTGCCCAAGCTAGAGTGCAGTGGTGCGATCTCGGCTCACTGCAACCTCTGCCTCCTGGGTTCAAGCCATTCCGCCACCGAAGCCTCCTGAGTAGCTGGGACTACAGACACCCACAACCACGCCAGGCAAATTTTTGTATTTTGAGTAGAGATGGGGTTTCAGCATGTTGGCCAGGCTAGTCTTGAACTACTGACCTCGTGATCTACTCACCTTGGCCTCCCAAAGTGCTGGGATTACAGGAATGAGCCACTGCGCCCAGCCTCAGTGGACTTTTTAAAGGTTATGTGCATAGACGAGAGTTTCGGGGCTGCTAAAAGAAAAGCTGCAGATGGCAGCCCGGTTAAGAGATGACAATGACAGTCAAATGCCACTAAGGCTTTTTCCATGCCAGGCGCTGCGTCACACTGTAGGAACTGTATCAACCAACCCTCACAGAAACTGCAGGGAGGGCTGGAACTCTGGGGACGACACTCCCCATCTGCGATGAGAGGATTCCAAAGAGCACTGAAAGCCAAACATGTTTTTTGTAAACTTGTTGATAAGGCTGGGAGCGGTGGCTCTCACCTGCAATCCCAGCACTTTGGGAGGCCAAGGTGGGCGGATCACTTGAGGCCAGGAGTTTGAGACCAGTCTGGCTAACACGGTGAAACCCCATCTCTACTAAAAATACAAAACTTAGCCGGGCATGATGGTGCATGCCTGAAGTCCCAA